TAAGTTAGTAAGGCCTAGACCTAGAGGATTAAGGTAGAGACCTGTTCCTTCTTAGAGAAAGAGAAATTAAGATAAGTTTTCAATTTCTATAATTATTAGAGGCTACTAAATCCTAATAAGAGACTATACTTGTCCTAGTACTCTATAATATAAAGGAAAAGCTATAAGTAGTAACCTATAGTAGTATAGGCTACTCTAGCGAATAGCTAAAAGAAAAAGGAAAAAGATCTACTAACTCTACTAACCTCTAAAAGCAAAAGTAAAAGAAGAACTACTAACCTAAACCCTTATAGCTCCCTAACTAAACTTATTTATTATCTTTATTACTACCCTCCTTACTAGAAAGACCCTATTTCTTAGAGTTACTCTTATCCCTACTAGAATTAGCATCCCCTTCTATATCCTAACGAAGGCGGGTAGTAGCTACATTAGCTATATAGCGACTACGACCTAAGGCGTACTTTGTTCGTCTTATAATCTACTATAGTTAATTATTAATATTAAAGTTAAATAGGATAATTATTACACCCTCCCTAGTATCCTTAGTAGGCTCGATAGTATTAGGCTTAAAGTAGATAAGACCTCTAAGAGCATTCTAAGCTCCTTATATGTCTCGGATATTAGTTAATACCTAGTTAAAAAGGGCCTCCCTATTAATAACTAGACGATTAGGCCTCCTACTAGACCTACTTAGGCTAGCTAAGTTAGAGCGTACTCTACTTACTCCTAAGCTTAGGGAGCATCTATTATAACCTAGAGTCTAAGTACAGTTAGTATAGGTACCTCTAAGTAACTAACTACCCTAACTATCTAGTATCCGGCGACATAAAGTAAGCCTACCCTTTCTAGAGTCTTTAGGGCTATACTAAATATAACGGCTCTATTTATCTTCCTCTATATCTAGAGACTACTTAGGAGGACTAGAGTTAGTAATAGCCCCTTTTAGTAGGGTACCTAGAATTATAAGTAGGTAGCTAGTACTACTATATAGATTAATAGTAATTGTTCTAGCTAGACTACCTAGGATAGTAGTAACTATAGCTTTATCTATAGGGCGTATATTAGGATTACTACGATTATTATTAAAGTTAGCCTTAGGAGAAGTAATCTAGTTAAATAGAGTTATGTTTAGCCGGCTATTCCTAGAACTACTTAGAAGGATGTTATACTAGCGCTAGATAAGGCTATAGTTATTAGTAATAAAGATAATACGAGCTAGCTTAAGAAGTTTTACTAGATCTATAGTAATAGAAGTATAGCGGAACTACGAGTCCTATAGAGTATTTATAATCTACTAGAACTAGTTTTCTATTAAGCTTAGTACTATAGGTCTAAAATTTAGTAGCTACTTTAGCGGCTCTCTACTACTACTCCCTAAAGAAGATAGGCTAGCCTTAAGATTAGTACGGCTACTCTTACGGCTAATACGTATACTAGCTATACGTACCTAAAGGGAAGATATAGTATAAGCTCTACTAGCTAAGGCTCTAATAAGAGCTACTAATAAATGTTATTATTAGAAGTAAAGGGAGAGAGCTTAGAAGCTTAGAAGGGAAAATATATATATACTTAGCCTCTTAGAGAGGGCTTTTATTATATAAATAGCCTCTTAGAGAGGGCTTTTATTATATAAATAGCCTCTTAGAGAGGGCTTTTATTATTATAGGAGGAGAATAGAGTAGAGAGAAGTAGTTAATAAGAAGAAGGAGATAAGAGTAGAGAAGAAGCTCTTATACCCCTACCTATATAAGCTTCTAGAAGCTTACTTATTTACCTTCTAATAACTAGGTCTTATACCCTTATTACTAGGTTATATAGGCAAGTTATAAACAGTGAAAGTTTACTATTATCTAGTAAGTAGGAGCAAATATCCTTCCTAATTAGGAAAGATAAAGCCTATATACTAGTAAATACTACTACCTAAGGCTTATAACCTTTTTATAAGGCTAAGGCTTGTAGGGATAACTATATACTAGTATGTAGAGGGAGGCTACGAATCTATAGACAATTAAGGCTCTACTAAGGCTTTAGTAGGTACTAAAGTCTAAGTAGGGGAGAATGTAAGATCCTTAGCCTATATACTAAGGAATTACACTACACTTGCTAAAGTAGTGTTATGCCTAAGTGTGAAAAACTCTGGTCTTGGCAGCTAAGTAGAGGGGATATAAAAACACCTCAAAACCTTATATAGATAGCCGGGCCATGAACCTTCTTTGTTAGTCAAAGCTCTCACACGACCGAGGGCACACGCCATCCTCCTCTTCCGTATTCGTTCATCAATGTCTCTCCTTCATCCACCCATGATTGATTTTCAATGCACGCTCAGACGACATCCTTCACCTCGGTCATCGAGGCGATCAGCTGCCGCCTGTCCTCGCCGCCCGCCGCCCGCCGTTCATAACTTCCAGAGAATCTCGTCCACCGACCGGGCGCCCTCCGCCAGCACCTTATACACAGCCCCTTCTGTGCCGCTCATGATGAATAGCCACGACCATTCCCCCGTCCCGCCTTCCAGCTCTCGCTCTGCGCACTGGCACCACTGCGCCATCCCTACTACCGTATCCACCAGATCATCCAGCGCCTCCTTATCAGCATAATCACCGCCGAGCTTCAGGGATGCGCGCGCCATCCGTGCGATGCGATACACTTTCTCGAGGATACACTGGATGTTGCCGACCGTGGCAGGGACTCGCGCCAGATTTCAGGCTGTGGGCACACCATCAGGTGTGGAGGCGGTGGTGAAGAGCGCGGCATACTCGCCCAAGGTGCCCGTGGGGCGGGTCAACCAATGTATCGGGGGATATGACAAGATGATGCGATTGAGCGAGCGGTTTGAAATCGAGAAAAAATGGGATGTTAGACACTTGGTGCGCGAGCTCAAGAAGCGCTGAAAACTGGACAACATTCGCGCTGGTATAGCGCAATGCCAACGATGTATCTCTATGGCAGATCAGTCACCTTGCGAGCGCGATTGTGCATTCTCAGCTAAATGCTCTGCTCCGAACGCGACTTTGAGCTCCTAGCTGACATTGCGGTGCGTCTGGATTGGCCGTTCTGCGAGCAGCACTACTTGGAGGCTCTGTACCGTCGACATCCCTACGCAGCCGCCCCATTCGGTGTGCAAGACTGTTGTCTGTTCATTCTCCGTCGCGGCCTCGAAAGTATACGCAGGGACACTGCTCCCGGTCGACATCTCCAGCGTACTTCCTCTCTACACTTCGATGGACCCATGTGGAGTCCAGACAGTGAACCTACTGCCCGCAAGAAGTTGGAGGTTTGCACCGCTGGTTCGCAGAGACTCAAGATAGAGGACGCAGAAGCGGCGCAAGGAAGATAACATCAGACAGGATGGTGAGTATTGCTGTGCAGAAGACCAATTCGGAGGCTCTAGCGCTGTGCTTTATCGTGGGCGGTGTTGCTGGCTGATCCAGATTCTGTGCTACTAGTTTCGTGTCGACCGTGGCCAAGCTGGGCTTCGCGTCTTGCTGAAGCTCCGTCTCTGACTATCGCGCAGTGGACGCTCGGACACTTGCTGGACGCTTGCACGGGATGATGAGGTTCGGAGGTCCATCGCTCGCAGGCTCGCGCCGACCATGTCCGAAGGTGAGATTACTTCGCGGTCACGAGTCCACCTCGTCAGTGTCGAGCCGAGACCGCAAGAATTGCTTCCAGGGTGCTGCATACGAACTCACATGCGGAATCTGAAACCGTGACCAATGCGGTGTGGCTGATGTCGAGTCAATCCTCTGGGCTGTGAATGCGGCACCACTTCGGAGAATCTCCAAGAATCCTGGATCTTCTTGTGCGTCATCTTCATCCACTATGGCTGATTCTGAGCGGGTTTGGTCATCTTCAGCAGCATCAACTGGACCATTGCCCGCCTCACTTGCCACGGAAATCGAGGCTTGGTTGCTGGGGGCCTTGTCGACCTCCGCTGTCCCAATACATGGCAGTTGCCTGGAGCCGGCATTGTTGGAGGCATCGACTTGCTTCTCATGCCCAGACTCGGCTCCCAAGATTCCATTCTTTGATGCAGAGAAAGCGTGCGCCGGAGTGGCTGTCCTCACAATGTATGGGAGGACGGCATGGTAGGCTCACTTGAGGACTTTTCGACTTTTGTGGATGGCGGTTGAATCGGTTCGAACACGGGCGTCGGGAAAAGTATTCAACTTTCTCCCGAAGTATCCCAACACAATGATGTGCCGATTGAGAAGCTCCCTACTACCCCTGACTGTGGACAATAAAACGCCGAGGTACTCTTCGCAACAGTAACCTGGGCTTCTCTACCCGGACAGCGCACTCTTGCAGTTTTTTCTGCACGGCGATGTCATCCTTTTCGCTTGTAGAACCTGCAGCTCTTGGCACTTTGAGGGCTACTGGTGCGCAGTGTCGGTGTCTTGCAAGAGTATGGAGCTGGTGCGTCTCTGGCTTTAATGCCTGACATTCCGATGTGTCTCGCATTGCGAGCTCTTGTAACACGGCCGAACGTTTTCGACACGAGAGACATGCTGTATGCATCAGCTTGCGGACTAGCTGGGAGCGATCTTGCTGTTGAAAGTCATACGTTAGGCGAACTTAGGCTCTCTTCTCCCGGTTTCCTTCGGCCAACCGTCGCTTCCAACTTCTCTCAATCTCTTACTTATCCGCCAACTCCAGCATCTACTACAGATGTTCTCAAAAGGCTTCCTGCCCTCTCAGACCACTTGAATCCACCAAGCCAACTCAGCCTCAGATATGGCGCCTACAGGGCCAGTTCCCACCAACGAGCTCAACCAGATGTGTTGTAATCTTTCCCACGAGGACATGCAGGCTGGAAAGCAGATCTGCTGGCCCACAAGGTCCAGAACCTTATGTACCAGTTCTGTGCTGCCTAACGGCAACCGCATAATCATGCTACTTTGATATACCTCAGATCTGCTTCGATACCGAGGACGACGAGGCCCTTCGCAACGTCGCTACCGAATTTACTACGTGGACTATCGCCCATCTCACCACGGCCGATGGGCGGTGCTCTCGAGGCCTCTTCTGCTCCTGGCAAAAGAATGTCGAATGGGTTCAATCGCTACAGCGAGTTCGCCAAGACCTGGATGACAGACAAGTATAATGTCCTGGGCAGAGGCATAGCTCCAGATGGTGTCGATAAGACCATGGCCGATTGGAATGAGTGCGTCTGGCGCTCCAAGGACGTCTGCAGTAGTCAAACCGTCGCTTGGAATCGAGCCCAGCCAAAGTAACTCTATATCCAGTTCGGTGGCAGCACTCGGACCACTTCAGCTCCTCCGTATACACCAGCTGACGTTCGTACTACTCCGTCATCGACACACTGGAATTGGCGCTACGATTCCCGCTCCTGGTACTCGCGCTTCCACCCCTACTGCTGGCCGCCCCTTTGCTCAGCCGTCGCCGCCTCGTGTCGCTAACTCCAACTTCCACCGACACATAGTGCAGAAGATGCTCGAAGCAAATTGCGCCTGGAGCAAGTAGGGCATGAAGGCTTGGATCAACACTCACACTAACGTTTCGCGGAGAACATTATGAACGAGAAAGCCGGCACCAACTTCAATGCCGATCAGGAGATTGCTAAACTTCCTTAGCAATTTGCGAATGCTGTCGCCAATACCAACGCCAAGTCCACCGCTGCTTAGCGGGAGGAACAGCTCGAAGCTGGAGTTGCTCGTCTTGGCTTAGAGGACTCTTCCCTCGCAAACGAGCGCGTCACCGAAGTAAATGAACAGCAAGAAGCTGAGATCGCTCGTCTTCGCCAGGACGACAGCACCATCAGCAAGCAGTTCCAGGAGATTACCAAGAAGCAGCAGCAGGAGGTCGACAATGCTAACGCTCGCTACGCCGCTATCACAGCCCAGCATGAGTCTGCCAGCATTTCCAATCTCGAACTCCCAGGAACTCAGCGCCAGCTTGACCAATCCAAGTCCAACCACCTCGTCTTTCAGCAAGAGATATCCAATCTCAAATCCCAGGTCCATGCCATGGAGAAGGAATACAACAAGCTCCAAGTCTGGGCGCAGGGCTCTCATACGAAGAACCTCGAAATGGAGCAGGAGATTGAAGAACTCAAGGCCCGGCAGGTCAGCGTCAGCCCTATGAACAACATCTCCAGCAGCGGTTTTACTTCGACCTTCCCTGGATACATTCGCCAACCCACCATCGACTCGCCATCCTCTCCTTACCCGAGCATCGTTGAACCTGAGCCGCCAAAGGCCGCTTCTAAAGCAGCACCAGCAGTCAAACCTCTTCTGTACCGTACCCGCATATTCCTTATCCGCTGCTGGTGTTGTTACTGCTGCTTATTGCTATAAAACATGCGGATTTTCGGGGACAAGCTTGGGTCGATAAAGAGTAGAATAGCAATCTTCAGTTCAGAGATCTTGTATTATTAACTTCTTCCAAGACCGCTTCCTCCATTATCCATGGCTGCGCCGGTTCGTCCGAAAGCGATCTTGTCGCAGTGTCATGGGATCTTCAAGGGCCATAATATGTCTTGCGTAGTTTTTTGACACGATAATTGCGGGTGGGACCATAGATGTGGTATCGATGTTAATTGCGATTAACTTTGGAGGAGATAATGGATCTCATATTGGACTCGGAAGATGGTCTTTGTACGACTGTGGCAGAAGCAATAAGTACGGAGTCGTCTAGCAAGTGGTGTCTCAATCGACGCTTGGAGAGCGAGGAGACCAGATAGCAAATGAGGCTAGAGGTCAGCATGGGAACGGTTTCGCCGCTACGATTGGCACAAATAAAACAAGGTAGCCCGACGAACGTCGTACGCCAATAAGGGGAAAAGGACAAGTAGCTTCCAATGATCCAGCCCGATTCGCTTTGGACAGCTTGAGATCGTCATGCTTCTGGGCCGAAGGGTAGGATGAAACGGTCGTCACCGGCACAAAGTGGGGAACGGAGAGAACGTGGAAACGAGGGAGATCGACTGTGGTCCAGTCATTGTATAGTCCTGGCTTATTCATTGGCGTAGTAGTATTCCGACGAGCTCTGCGTTCCAGATCCCAATTGATAGGCCGCAACACCTTTTTGGAGGGACACTCCAGCCCGCAGAATAGGTCTCTAATCGATAGTGTCACGCAAAAACGTTGCGACAATGTCGCAAAGTTGTGGCGTCATGAAGCCAGAGGTATCCAAGTCCATGCCGATTGGCATTCGTTGCAAGGCCGTGTTCAAATAAAGGAAGTCTCACATTGCAAGGCATAGCTGTTCGACACCAGGCAAGTCGAGAATCAGTGATAATGTCGTTGTGAGGAGAAAGGAGGACTGCAGCGATTAAAAGTTTTCTGGCCAAGCGAAGATACGGTCAAAGCAGCAGTTGCAATTCGATAAGAACGTTTCTTGTCTGGAATGTACAGCCTCGCCGCAATGAAGTCGGATACTCAACTCGCTAGGCGACTGCCGCGTGGTGACAAGGGATCCTTTGTTCCAGGTGATTAGGAGTTCTCGATATTCAGCAAGTCTTCGAGAGGATCTGCGTTACCAGATGGGTTCCCGGCCTCTCCGAGCTGCGTTGATGATCCGGAGATAAGCCGAGGATGCCAGCTCTCCAGCCACTGATTGAAATCGGGTTGGCTCATGCTCATGATTTCCTCATTGGTATAGGATCTACCGTTCACTAGGTACTGAGTATCGCCGGCTGCGAGCGGCAAGTGACAGTTGCGGGTAATATCAGAAGGGCTCGTGCTGTTAGCGGCCACCTGGTACTGATCTCCAGCGCCGTCTGCAACCGAAAGGTTTGACTTGCCGTATGGCAGCGGTTTGGTGGCACTTCCATTGTCGACCGAGGCGTTTGAGTCACAGCCAATAATATTCGCCGAGTTTTGGAGCGTGTCGTGGCATTGGTCGTCAATTTGGCAGGCAGGATCATTGGTCTCGCTTGGCGCAACATTTGGTGGATCCGTGTCGGTCTGCTCACGTGCAGGAACTCCGTCGTTATCAAGAACAGTGGGATACGACATCGTGTCAGGATCATTGCGCGGGTCAGAATTGCTGGTGGAAGGCACTGGGCACGAGCTACCAGTAGTTTGATGTGGTATGGCACTGCGCACTGGGTCATCGACACGACCATAGTCCAGGGAAAACCCTCGCGAGAGTGTGGCAGAACCGCTCGTATCGCGTTCAATGGTCACACCCACAGGCCCATAGAAGGCTGGACCTTGTTGTCCCAATTTGAAGCTGCCGACGTGTGCGCCATGGAGATTCAGAAGATGCTGGGCAGAAGATCCACGGCGCATGGAAGCCACGACTGCACCATTCTGTACAAAAGCGCCGTCCTTAAGGTACCCAATGGTAGAGCCATCAACATCGACAAGGAACAGGCCGCGTGGTCCATTATTCAGGTAAGCGACGAGATGTTCCTGCGAGTCCTGCACGCTTCGGCTCGAATAATCGCCATTTCCGCTCGCTCGAGCTTCTTGGATACCGGAAGGAGCGCTGCCACCAAAGACATCGAGATCTGCATTGACGAAATGTGGAGGAGTGGCGTTGTCTCGGGAAGAGCTGGACATCGAAGAAGCAGGAGATTGTTTTGTCTTTTGCCAGGCTTTGCCGTGGTTTCGCAATGCGATTGAGTTGTACCATTCATGCCATCTCGCCCGAGTCCAGGAACCAAAGGGCTTTCTCTCCGTCCACGGGCTATCCTCGTGGCTGATAACATCCGGATGACCTTGCCATGGAAGTCAGTGATTATCATGGTCAGAAAGGAGCATTATTGCACCCACCTCCGCGTTCCAGCCCCCTCTCAAACTCCCTGGCCATTGATGTGATGTGCTTCAAACCTTCTTCCAACTCCCGAATCATTCGCTTGCGCCAAGGTCCATGCCTACTGTCCGGCCAGTCGATCAGGGGGTGGTACGAAAGATCGACGCCAATTTCCAGTGCTCGCCATAACGCATCGTGGTACATTCGCTCCATCTTTACAATTGTGTTCTGATCCTGCTCGGAGACTCTGCGGCCATCTGTCCGCCGCTAAGGGATCTATTAGCGGATGTAGTAGTTTCAGAACAGAATGCACCTACAGATCGCTGCGCCGGAGTGGTCGGATTCTTCACCGTCTTCACCTTCTCTATCGGGGCTTCCATCCGACTGATAACCGTGTCTCCTTCGCTCGGCGGCGATGGAAACACCGACGTCGCTTCACCACCGAACATGTTGTCGCTGAAGAAAGTCTCCATGTCGACCGTATTCACACTTTTTAGTTTGGCGTTGGGAGCTATGCCTAGGTTGGAACCGCTCTTCTCTTTCGGATGGAAGATGAGGTATGCCTAGGTTGGAACCGTTCTTCTCTTTCGGATGGAAGATGAGGGAGAGCGAGTTAGAAGGCGGGTCGAATGGGGGCGCTCGTCAAGTAATCCGGAATCTGTGTCGGGACGACGAAGCTCGGGATGCCAAAACTTCTTCTTTGCAGTCGGAGATGGGCCACAGAGGAGCAGAGCCGAGTGATGACATTTAACCATCAATTTTCCAGCTGTTTGTCAATGAGCTGGCTCAGATCGACGGGTTGGAGATGCCCCTATAGTGTCATGACGGATTGAAGCCAGCCGAGACGAGCATAGCAACCTGCTTAAGCGGGCCCACAGTATCCAGTGAGCACACCGCAATACCATCAACTGCATGGTCCGTTGCATCCTGGCGGGAAGGGACCTAGGAGCGTTGTGACTTCTGCGGCATGAACGCGATACCTTCAGCAATATGAGGGCTCGGAGCGCCGAAATCCAGTCCGTGCATAATGGGACCTGCAGATGCAATGCACCCCGCCGCAAGTATCCTTGTCAGTTCGCATGCTGCTACAGTGCTACAGCGCTGCAAACAGGTGCGCATCAACATGAACGGGTAGTACGAGGTGCTCCAGCTTCCAGCGTGAGACGTCGATCGGATTCAGGAATGCGAGAGTGGTCCCAGGGAAGTTGTGTGAGTGGTCATCCAGAGGCCGTTGTGTGGTTCTGCAAGATGGATCACATGAGCAGTCCTGGAGGTGCGCTTGTCGGCCCTGACTGACACCGCAGCCCCTCTAACAAACGACTCTCGGAGGCCGACGACGCTCTACCAGATATGGAACGTGGACACACCGCTAATGTAGACCGACAGTTGACTCTCGTGCATCTGCATATATCCACGATCGGCCTCCAAGGAATCGCTAATAGCGTATCGTCATAGTACACGACCACCTTTACGCGCTCATAGATATATCGATAAGGCCTAAGGTGTGAGAGCGCGAGCAGTCGGCAAAGCTTGCCTTCTCAGCGCCTGAGTTGCTGTCTTATCGTCCAATGCGGATGCTATCCAGGGTCCTGACTTTAGCTTAGCGGCTCGCAGAGCGAGACTGTTGGTATGAAGTGCTCTCGTTATCTCAACAGTTGGGAATTATCGCGCCGCCGTGTCTTTGACCCAGTATACCAGTATTCGGAAGAACAGTTCGTCTGGAGGAGGTTAGAGTCATAGTGCGATATGCAATGTCCGTAAGGTGGGATTGAGGTCGACGACCGCGGGGTGAATGGCTTCTACTTACTGAGATTTCTTGCGCCGTGTATCTTGTCCGATCGAGAGCGTGGAGCTTACAGTATTACCTTTCGGGCACAATGAATAGCCAGAACAGAGCGCAAGGTCGGCTCCGTGGGTCCTCCGTCTTCGAGGAGCCGGTGCAAGTCAGCGACCGCTTCTCGACTTGGTTGCGGAATTTCGGGTCTCACGGATATCAGGGATGGGTGAAAGAAGGCCACAGTGTAGCGTCTCTGCTCGGTATGGAGAGGCAGCGTTTTCAGATGGTGTCCAAATAAGCTCCGGTGACTCAGATGGTGGTCTCAGTAGACTTGAGCTACTGTTTCAGGTGGACTGCGACAGATTTCTTCTGCCCAGACCAGTCATTGACTCATTGAATGAGCGACACGATGAATCCTCTAGCGTAATGAGGGCACAACCACACAACCAATATCTCCTCCGCTTAGCCGGGCGGTCCTCTTTTGAGCCACACCTGATCTCCTTGCTGTTGCCATTGATATCCGGAATCGATGCACCGTTTTCTCTCGCATTCGTCACTTGATTCTTCTATCAGGCCGGCTCGAAAGGGTGGTTTATGGTGGTTTCGGATGATATTCGTGGAGCCCGCTTGCGAATGGTTGTCGTTGCGAGGTGGGCATCGGCAGGGGCTCGGCTTCGTCGCGTTCAGGTGGTTCGAGAGTGAAGCGCGACCTGTCAGTCGGCGGTCTTCACCGTGCGTTGTGGACATGCTAGAGAGCGAGTTGATGCTGACGGTTCACATCACAAGCTGTTGTCGTTTTATGAGGCAAATGAAAGTGAAAGGAGAGTCATCTGGTGGCTCGAACAAGAGCAGACCGCAATTGCGGTCCCTCGAGGGCTGCGCAGTGCGGTGTGGTATTGCGACAAGTGCGGCATCTTGTCACATGAAAGGAAGATCCTCCTACCCTGTTACTCTGTGATGGTCATTGTGGGAGAGCTGTCAAGCGTTGGGGGTCGTTTGCTGTGCGCGGTGACGAGGAAGATGACGGAGACGAGGATTGTGATAGGGAGCGGTGCAGAGGACTCGGCAGCCAAGTCACGGGCACGTGAAGGCAATCTGTCGTCACCGCTTGAAATTTGACGAATCTCTATCAAAATACGTACCGACTTTGCTTAAGCGAAGGCCGATCCACTCTTAAAGTAAGCCCACGGCTGCCATATAGCGCACCCATGAAGATACTAAACAACTTCTTGAATCTTCTAGTAGCCTTTGCATAGTGTAAATGACACTCAATGTGTAAGAAGAGTCTCGAGATTCCGTCGGGAGACATTGTGACCAGAGCATCGCCCGCAAGCGGGAAATCGTTTCTCCCGTGCGCCCGACACCTGGTGCAGGGAAGGGGGCGAGACCAGGTACTTTCTCTTGCCCAGCTCTAACCAATACCGATCACCTTGCCCGCGGCTACAAACTGAGAAGCCTGTGATCAATGCGATGCCGAACGTTACATACGCGAGCGCTTCTACGGAATAATACATAAGACACCACCTCCTCCATTAAAGCGCAAAAACTTTCATCTATGCCACGCCTTGGCACGCCGCGACGCGCGAGAGTAGATGGCGCTACGCCTCTGGCGGCTGGATCACAACATCCTGTCCATGGTCCAGCCTCCGCAAGCGCAAGCATTCGCACACCTACCATCGATACACCTTGAGCGCCGCCGCAACAGTATCCTTTCGCACGCAGACTTCCGGGATCCAATCTGGATTGCGCCAATCCGTGCGGCTCCAGCGCCCACGATATCAAAACGCCGGCAACTGTACTAGGCACCGATCCGCTGTATTCTTAGAACGATCGAACAACATTAGTGGCTCGAGTACACCTCCGGCGGTCGAAAGATACGCCGATACCTCCCGAGTATCTCGCGCACAATCTGAACTCCAGTGCTGGGCGCCACGACTGCGGTGCTCTAACCTCCTAGGTGCAGAGCAGCATAAGCATCCGGCGACGGGAACAAGAAGGAAGAATTCGTTATATAGGAGTCGGACGCAAGGCGGCAGAAAGACGTTGGAACATTGCATTTGATGGATACCACAAGTTTGCCTTTGGGGCCCTCCACACGGCGACGGCGCTTCACATTGCGCGGAGCTACAGGAGGCCACGAGCTTTGCAATGCGAGAAGACGCTGCGATGGACAACGAGGAGCTCATCCGGGGGCTGTGAAGATCTTCATCATAGTTATGAAGTTTTCCAAGTGGCAGGAAATGTGGAACCAGTCGAGACCTCGTCACCACGGACATGCCAACGTGTCCCAGCAGCGATTTCCGAATACTTTGGCGGTCCATCTTGCGCCGACGCACTTCTTTTTGGCGCAACTAGTCCGCTCTCCGGTCGAAACCAGCGTGGCGTCAACTGTCTGCTCTCTGTATCAAATTACCTGGGACGTCGCCATTGCGAAGAATTCCTCCAGAGAACTCGCTCGTGGGAACGCAAGCATAGAGGAAGATCACGTCGAATCGCTAGTTCATGATTTCTAGCTATGGATGGTTGCTCCCAGCTGTCACATCTAGTTCCGTCTTCCTGTGTGGCTTTGGGATAGCACCAGAAATCAAAGCTTGACTAAGGCCAGTTTCATCTTGAGGCAAGAGATCTTGCATTTTGCACGTCGACACGCTGCGTATGTCTGCTCCGCTCAACATTCGGGTACCCGCCAACCTTATTTCGATAAAGTACATACCCTGTCCTCGCCTATGTCTCCTCCTTAATTCTGGGCTCTTGGTCGGCATACCGGTTTACCGTCCATACTCAATTTCCATCGACAAGATACACGGAGTCGTAGAATAGATCTTTGGAAACTCTTAGCCCTGGGCCTTCCCTCGTTAATTAATTGCACCGCCTTCACGCCTGGAGCTTAAAACAAAGGTCAAAACCCTCGGCAATCTAGCATGGATCTCTCCACGTCTCTACGATATGCCAGTCCAGCGTCTAGCAGCCTGGTCGTAGCAATCTGGCTTGGACATGATAGCGACTCGGCCGCTATCGCTCCCGAGAGACAACGACCGAGACGTACGCAGTCCATTGTAGCGTCGATTGATCCATACTCACGCTACTTAGGCCGAGTATTGTGCTTGCCGACGGCTCTCGTTACACCCGCTGGAAAGACATCTGTTAGGCAAGCGCTGCAGCTGTGGTACGTACAACGTACATTGCAAAGAAGCGCGCATTTTAAACTTTCATTCCTATGCAGTACATATCACAAGTATCGTCATCTGTTGTTGTCTTAGGTCATTCCCAAAGCGCTATCCCTTTTGCTTTATACTATGCTTCGGGGAGATCTTTCCCCTAGCAACAATGTACTATCTTTATCGATCTTGCGTTGCTGGTTTCCAACCCTACGCTTTATCGTTTTTGCTTGATCCCATTCCATGCCGCGCAAACTCCAACTCACATCATTTAGAAATTGTGATCACAGTGCTAGCAGAAAGTTGCCAGAAAGGCAGCCGCTGAAACAATACACAGCGAGAGAGATGTCTGGAGCTCTGCTCTTAACTACCCTCGACTCTGCGACGTTTCCTGGTAGCTGGTTCCAGAGAGGACGAAATGGGAGAGTGTAGTCGCTTGGCGTGCGATGTATCACTCAATGAAGACGCTACTGAGGCCGGTGTTCCTGAAGCTCGCGCAGTGTTGGCATTCGCTGTTGGCATCTGTACTGGAGATTGCTTCCTGAACTGCTTGAAGAATCCACGATAGAGGGTCCTCGTGTCCTTGGGCTTGGATGTCGTCGATACAGTGCTTACCGAGCGCGGGCTCGCTCCTGGCGCTGCCGGCGACTGTGATTCGTGTGCAGTGAGGTACTCAGAATCCAACCGTGGTTCAGCCACGCACTTCTTTGATTCACTGGACTCCGCCTTTCTCCGGAGGACTGAGTCGACTGACGCATCTTTGGGGTGCGGTGGGCGAGAATCTTCAAGTCCGGGATCAGGAACCCAGTCCGGCCCATCTCCGTCACTTCCATCGGAATCGGAGTCCTCGTCGTCGGCCAGTTCGTCGTATTCGTTCTCGCTGCTGTTTCCGAAGTTGTAGTAACCAGGCCAAGACATCTCCGCCTCTTTGAAGCTCTTTGTTACCACTGAATGCGGCGAAGACATCAATTCCTCCTCGAACTGAAGTGGATCGTATGTTTCGGTCGAGCGCAGCACGCTGTCGCCATCGGGCTGGGCCGCTTGGCAGATGGCGGAAGGACTAGAGCGATAACTAGCATCATTGCGCTTTGTCTGAAGGTAGCTTTGATCGATGAACGTAGCCGGGAGTGGGACTGAGGGTGCATACAAAGATTTCGATGCTTTCGTTTTTGCGACTGGAGGTGGGCATGCGAGATGCAGTGGATCCGGAGACTGAGACATCATCCTGGTCTGAGGCCAGCTACCGGACTGTTCCTCTCGCTTCATCGGCTGAGGACGGAGCGACGGCTCTGTAGATGCCTGAGGGAGATGTAATGGGTCGGGAGAGTTGAGCATCGAAGTGTGAAGCCAGTCGTTGGTGTCTTGATCGGCCTTCGTTCGTAGGGAGCAAGATAATGACTCCGCCATCATCTGCATCGCTACAAGGACTTCGAATGACAAAGAACAGAAGGAAAGAAGCCCCGCTCTAAAGTTGGAAGTACTTATGTTTAGCGATACGGTCGCGGAGGCCGAGCTACTACAACCAGAAATGCCCGCAGGGTCAGAGAAGCAAGAGAAGCAAGAGAAGCAAGAGAAGCAAGAGAAGCAAGACTCGTCTCTAATCCAGAGTAAGTAGCTATCGCTGGAATTCGACGTAGTAGGTGTATTGGCACTAATCCGCGGTCCAGCTTCGAGAGAGGTGGCCGTGCCGATGTCTTTCGGATAAGATCCCCGAACGATCGCTAGAGATGCACGATAACTTTCTTTTCGAGACTTTGAAAAACAGCATCGGGCGAATAGCCGAGATGTCCGCTGCGCCAGGCCGTTACGTATCAAGTTCCCGACAGAGAGATTTGCAGAGTTGCACGAGCTTGCTAAGTGTACAATAAGGAGAACTGCTTTCGGAGGACCCGTGATAACGAAAGCATCCGAGCGAGATGTAGCCTTGTCAAGGTCTCGATGCCTATCAACTCTGTGACAGTGCGTGAGTCCGAAGGGTAACGACCCGGTATACTCATAGTCTGAGTCTGATGAAGCGGCATCGACCGCGGGAATTGATCGGTGTGTGGGCGAGGACTCTAGCAGATCTCGAAGTGCGCCTGGCAGTGATTTCCATGATGACTTCCACGATAACTTCCGTCCTATCGGTACATGATCTCCCCAATCATCAACTCCTCGCCCTGTGCCCGCTTCTGCTCCTACTCTCTGTCGTATCTGTGATGTCCTCGCTGCCTCGACCGTACCAAGTAGGATAATTCCATTCCTGGACCTAGA